GGGGTCGCGTGACCGAGGGCGGGGGTGGCTGGAGAAAAGGGTGGGAGCTCACTCAAGCCACTATTAAACATCGCTCTATACGACTCTGCAGAGCCCAACTTTCATCTCTCCACTGCCACCGCCTAGTGCGAGGGAAGTAGGCGGAAGAGAGAGGGGGATGGAGAAAGTATTCAGCGAGAGAAAGGGGAGGGGGAGGGATGTGCACGCCCCACATCACGTTCAGGCGAGCTGTATAAACCACGACCACCAACTTGGCCACCCTAACTTCGCTCCCCTCAATAAACTCATAATTTCCCTCCACATCAGAGAACACACACACACCTAACAGCCGAACATAATGAGTCGGAGCGAGGAGGCGACGAGTGACGTCCCACAGCACAACAGAATGTCGCATATCGACAGGCAGACAACTTACTAAATGCAAAGTAAAGTACTCAAAACCTGCTTTATTTAAATCAAGAAATGCAAAGAATATAAGCAGTTACGAAGTGATACAAAGGATTTCTGTGCGATCAGAAATCTATGCAATTGAGCGCAAAGTCAGTTTTCAAAAAATACTTAAAAAGTAATAAAAGAAACACTCTTGAGAATACAGTCTCCTAAAAAATGTCATGGCGACACAGTGTGGGTTGTGTCACAAGAAACATTAACAAGTGATTAAATGAAGTTTGATAGACTGCATGAATTTACATGCAATTGGGAACAGTTTTTTTTTATATATATTTTTTTAAAAACAAAGCTAATGAGAGTACACGATTATCATGGTGCCAAAGTTTGGGTCGTGTTACAGAGCTAAACCGAGAGATTAAATCAAGTTATATGTAACGTCCACATTGTCAGGGAACGGCTCCGAGCATATCGCTTCCTGCATCACCATCGGGTGCCCGGCTTCACGTGACATGAGTCGCACGATACTGCGACCTTCCTGGTGACTCCGGTCCGCCGCTGCAGCCACTTCTCGATAGAGCGCAGCTGGCGTTTGCACGATTTAACGTCGTGCACACCGGAGTCGGAAGACTCCGCAGCAGAGTCCGAATCTTCGCGGCTCGTATCATTGCTTGAGCTGGAGACAGCAGAATGAGACGAGTCGCTGTCCTCTTCGTCGCTCGAGTCCGAGGAGTCCCGCTGGTCTGCATCACTGGAGTCTGAAGAGTCTGCGTCCGACTCTACCGGGCTGCAGGGTCCATCCCAGTCCCGATCCCGCAACAGCACGAGGCGGCGGAGCTTCGGCAGCGTCGAGCCGCACCGCGAGAGGTCGCGGGCGAGGTCCGGGAAGTGGAACCAGTCAGAGTCCACGCTCTTCCCCGACTCACACCTGAAGCGCAGTTCGCGCAGCGAAGAGCCGAAGCAGTTGATCAGTGATAGCGCCAGGGCTTTCTGCGCAGGCCTCAGCCACAGCTGCAGCCAGCGCACCTGGGGAGGGTGTGCCGGGGTCGGCATCTGCACCGTGGCCATGGAGGAGCTGTTGACGCCGTGAATCGCCAGCCGACGGAGCCTCTTCATGCGAGGGATCAGCATCAGCTGCTCTTTCCTGGCGGCTCCGATTCGCAGCTCCCTCAACTGCAGCGGCAAGCTCGGCAGCACCTCCCCGCGGTTCAGGAGGAGGCGCCTTTCGGTGCGAACGTCCAGCTTTGCGAGGGTCTTCATGCGCGACACCACCCGCAGGTGCGGCGGGCGGGCTCGGCACAGGTCCAACTCCTCGACGTGCGGGGCCACTGAGTTGAGGAGCGGCAGCGCGTTCGGCTCGTCCGCGCAGTTCAAGTTCTTCAGCGTGACCACCTGCGCAAGGACAATATAACGTCAGACCGCACCGCATCGCATGCAACAAAACGCTTCCAAGTCCCGAATAATGGCGCACACTCACATTCTCCAGGCACGGTCTGCGACGCCCCCTCACGATGTCCAGCACCTTGCGGGAGGATGAGTCGAACACCGACAGGTCCAGCGTCAGCTCTGCGCCATCCTGTAGGACACACCAGGGGCACTGATGAGCAGACGGTGAAGACGAGCCGTTGTCGCGTCTCCCGCCAAACTCAAGCGTGCATCCCCATTTATTAAAAAAAAATATTGGAGAAGTCGAACAAAAGCCACTTGAAGCAAAACAATAACCGCGGATACATTTCAGTACAAATGCATACTCTCGATTCGACGTCATGCGACGCTCGACAGGTGCAGTGCGAAGCCGCCCTGCCCATTCTTTTGCCCAGCTATTTCCCTATACCAAACACCCCGCCGTCCCCCGCCCTGTCACACCTACACACGCACACACCGGTGGAGCCGCAATCCCCTCGCGGGCGGGTAGAGAGGGGGGAGGAAGGGGGAAAGAGGGAAAGGGAAGGGGAAGGGGAAGAAGAGGGGAAGGGAAGGGGGAGCCCGGTTCGGCCCTAAAGGGCGGTGCACGCGGACCTCGGAGTGACGACACGTACGGGGAGGAGATGTTGAATACCACAACTTTCGTCCCCCACGTCCACCGACTGACCAGACCACCCACGCACCCCGACTCCCATGGGAAACAGGGGGCTTGGGGGAGGGGGGGGGGACGTTGCGAGGTGTGTGGTGCGGGCCTTCCCTCGGACAGAGGTGCGAGGTACGAGGGAGTGCACTCTGACGTACCCTTCCTACAGGTGCAACAGAATTCTAGTACACAGTGCACATGGCGATCTTATTCTACATTCATCGTTCAGAAGATACAAAAGAAATGTCATAGGTATTTTTTCGAATATTTCTCATTCCCCTCATCTCCGGACAACCAAACACCGCACCATATTTTTACCTTTCTATACTTCATATCATTTTCTTCTTCTACAAGCCGTAATCCCGGTCCATCTCGGTGTCTTTGCCGAGGAATTAAAGAGGAAAACGTAGGAGAAAGAGGCCAAAGCCAAATTGACAAGGGGGAGTATGGATGGGGGCGGGGGGTGACAGGTGGCGACTACTCAACGGTACAATGTTTGTTCGTGACGCAACAAAACTGATCATACCACATTCCTTGTGCCACTGAAGTCAACAACAACACCTCTCAAGCTGCACACAGGAAAAAAACGACAGTCCATAAAATGGGGCATGAACAAGCCGATGCAAACGCGAAGAGTAAAAGAACTCTCCGCGGGGCTCAAAGGAGGGGGAGGAGG